TGAGATTAACCTCACTATAAAATCTGTGTATTTCAAAAATATGAATCTCACATTTCCAGTTGGTTCCAGAAATAACGTTAACGTAGATATTGCAATATGTTGAGCTGGAGTTAATTATTGAAGCTTACTGGTTAACGTTACCATCATAATAAACGAACGAACCCAAAAGTTGTTGTTTTTATTAATATTATTACCAATACTTACTTAGCATTTTATTATCATTACACTGGAGAAACCGACTTATTGTGGCAGCAGAACGTGAACATGTAACTTAATGCCTGCATTGAAGGAAGAAAAATAGTGTAGTCAATGCTTTAGGGACAAGGAAATTATTTGTTTAAATATTAGATATGACGTGTGCTTCTGTGACAATTAAGCTTATTCATTGCATTACATTTGTTAAATATGTTTGTCTTGTACGTGTGTGTTACAAATGAATGTGAATATGGCATAGGACAAATATTTAATTTGACTGTCTCATGAAAAACGATTCCAAAATAACAGTAAAATAAAAAGGACCCCAACTAGACAATAATACACAATCCAACTGATAAGATACAGTAAGGGCTGTGATATCCAGCACTTTTTATAAGGATAACAAAAAGATTATCACATGACCTTTGCATGTAAAAAAGTCTGTGACCAACACATGTTACTTTACATATATATATCTGTTTGTTTAAAGTTTCCAGGTGATGCAGACAGACCAGAGGATGCTGAACACGAGAGACAGACCTAAATTCCTAGAAGCAGTGAACTTCAGCATGGAGTGAAAGGTACAAAGACCTTTCATACTGTACAAAGAATCGAGAAACGTTCTGGTTTAAATAGATAAAGTAACAACTATAATACACTGATATACATTCCATTAAACATGACTAAATACTGACATCAGGGAAGTTGAGTGTTCCTTCCTTGTAAAGATTTACATTTCGATTTTACTAAGCAACATGATTTTTTTGTCAGCTTTCACATTTCAATGTATTTAAGGCAATTATTATTTTACATTGTGAGAATAGCTACCATTTGTCTCTACATATTGTCTGTAAAAGACGTGGGAAAACCAAACAGCATGATACTACATTTACACTAAGTTCTGATAACAGTTGAATATTATTTTAATAATAACATATATTTTAATGTTGATTAACTGCAGACTGTTCATTCATAATCTGATATGAGATTAAAGACCAATACAGGACATTCACTAAGAAACTACACTTTTATTGTGAACACAAAGATCTGCACACTGAATAGTGTGTAGTCAAACAGGACCATCATTTGTTTGTGACAGCTGTGCCCAGTATGGGCTCACAGATGCAGTTAGGTGGTTTCTTCATAGGCCTGGTCCTCCTCCCAGAGAAAGACCTCTCTACCTCAGTCTTCTCCGGCCAAACCCACAGACAGGTCATCGTCACACCGAGGTTTCTCCCAAAGTCTCTGCAGTTCTCTGGACTCCACGCTGTCTCAATTGATCCACACTGTGAATATGAGAGGGGAAAATGTGTGTAATAAATGCTTTAGACAAAAATAAATATGAAGTGGCTCAGTTTTATCTCACGTCTCAAAGTTTAATTTAAAAGAAGAGGCCCCAAAAATAAAGATTGGTATATCAATAAATGTAGTGGATTTTGTCTTTTGAATTGTTTAAAGTAGATATAACTAGTACTTAAGAGTTTTAATACAGTCTGGTTGCAGAGGAGGCACACAGGTAAGAGCACTAACTAGCTACCAACACAGTAAGCTTGACTTTAATTTATTAAAAGTATACTTAAGTGACAGCAAAAAATCAATAACTAAAATCATGCAAAAATGTGAATCTTTGCTGGATCCACTGTTGAATTTACCACATATTATATATTTTAGAAACCTGAAGGCATTTATAGATTTGTATGCAAGTATTATCCCAAAAATGCAATACCTCCATAGACCAGACCGTCTCAGTTTGTAGACTGCTCGGTTCAGGCTCCTGCCTATGGCTGCAGTGCTGTTTCTCTATAAATCCATGCTGAATTGCACCTTCTGTTTCATTCTTCTTCTTTAACACTAGAACCGCCAGAGGTCGCTGTATACCTAAAACCGCCAACGGGTCAAATGTACTCGCTATTGATTTTCAAGGTACATTGTTCTTTTATTTATCATGTAGGACAGTGAGTTTTGATCGCACAGGGATGAAATTTATACCAATAGAATCTGTGGACTCTCAGCTTTTCATATGATATTGTTTGTGCAGATAGCATGAAGTATAAAATATTGCTAACAGTGCTGATTTAAACGCTTGGTGTTAGACTTGTTTTTTGTTTAGGTACAAATCTCTCTGCTCTCTCTCTATCTATCTATAACTATCTATCTGTCTATCTCTCTCTATCTATCTATCTATCTATTGTGTGTCTACTAATTTATTTACACTATATTTTTTACTGATGTAATCAGTCTGTTTATTTGTGAGGTTGTTGAGGAAACCTGCTGCTAATACACTTAAAGGTAGGGTAGGTAAGAATGGAGAAACCAGCTCGAGTGCGCTAGAATTTGAAAGTACACAACTGAAAAAAATCTGCCCCTTCCTTCAGACTTCCTTACAGAGCCCCTCCTCCAACACACACGAACGCACACATGACCAATGAGGGCACGAGATACGTTTGTGCACAGATGGAAGGCTGACAGGCAGGTAGGCCATCCAATTATCTACCTTACCTTTAAGTAGCACATTTGAGAAAAATATAATAGGCCCACTATGGGCTTACAGTAGATATGTCTCATAATTATTTGTGTGAACATAAAAATTATTTGTGTGTGAATATGTGATTTGTAAATGTAAAACACCATCCACAAATGCATTTAAAAGATTTGCAAACTCACAAATAAATTTGCAAATGTAAAACGGATCTGCAAATACGCAAAATATTTTTACAAATAAAAAAAAGATCTTTGAATATCTCTTTAACATTTACAACTTTCGATCAGGCATTTGTGAATCCATTTTGTATTTGTTGACCAAAAATGCGCTTGTGGATCTCACATTTCTGCTTGTGGATCTCAAATCTCTGCTTGTGGATCTCAAATCTCTGCTTGTGGATCATCTTTTTACACACACGGAGTTTTGAGACAAACTTTCCGCCGGTCTCGGCTAAAATCTACTCGTGTCACTCGGTTATTTTTGGAAAACACGTGATGGCCGGCTGATGACGACATTTCCGCATGGTTTTCAAAGTAAGAGCATGATGTTTTTGTATTATAATGAACAGCGGAACGTTAGATGCATTCTTTATCACCATCATCATCATGTTATACAGTAGTGATACAGTTAGTTTGTGTTAGTTTATTGGTTCAATACAGCATATATCGAGCACATTCGTATGCATTGATGTTGAAGTACAGGCTACGCCACTACGCCCGGGGGGAGCAGCTGGCAGCAAAGCAGTACAGAGATAACTATTTCTTCATTGTTTTTTGTGTATTCAGTCAAGCGGGTCAAAGTTAAAAAGCACTTCACATCTTATTAATCGGCCTAGTTTTACCTTACCAGTGCAGTGGTGGGGTAATCTATAGAAAAGCACCGTATTTTGGTTAGCCTTCATAGTAAGGCTAAATTAAATGTTATAATATTCATTGTGTCCTTTTTACTGTATATGCATATATTCCTGTCTATTGCTTTCATTTGTATTTAATGTTATTATGTTTATACTTGTTTCCACACATTTCACAATTTGGGATGAATGAAGTATCTATCTATCTATCTATCTATCTATCTGTCTGTCTGTCTGTCTGTCTGTCTGTCTGTCTGTCTGTCTGTCTGTCTGTCTGTCTGTCTGTCTGTCTGTCTGTCTGTCTGTCTGTCTGTCTGTCTGTCTATGTATCCGTCTGTCTATCTATCCATCTATCTATCCGTCCGTCCGTCCGTCCGATCTATCTATCTATCTATCTATCTAGGGGCGGCGCCAGGCGGTAGTTTGCAGTTGCTACAGCAACACCAACAATTGTCCTAGCAACTGCTAAGCAACCCCAAGAAATGTATGTTTTTTTTATATATGTGAAATTCATAATTTGAAAAATGATTGATTCGAAAATGATATGCTACAGTACAGTACAAGTAGCCTACTTCTGGGTGTTTCATTCAAGCTCGGCTCCGTTTGTGTGGCACGAACGCACGAGTGAGCGAGCGAGAGAGAGAGAGAGCAAGATTGTTGTTGCTGCGCTAACGGATATTAGAAGCTGTTTCTACAACTAAGTGAAAGGAAAGTCCTCTCCTGTCAGATAACGTCAGCTCAGTGAGGTAAAGGACTCTCTGACTGTTTAGATAGATTAGTTAAAGTGGACCTATCATGCTATATTTGAATAATATATTGTAGGGCCATAGCTATATAAGGTATATTTATACGTTTATGTTTTCAAAATACCAAACCGATCATGCATTTTAGCCATGCCTCATTTCGCTCTATGTGCTGTTTGCTGTCTACGGTCTGATTCTGTGAGCTGCAGCTGACCACGCCCCCCTGCAGGAGAGGGGGGCGTGACACGGCCCCGGCACGCGTGTCATGTTACCATGCCGGCCCCGGCACGAGTGTCATGTTACCATGCTTGCTGTGATTACGAGTGGAGAATAAACATGTTATCTCAGAGCAATGCATGTGTTCAAGCATATTACGAATTTGATCCTGAATCTGACCCTGAAGAAGGGGAGGTTTCGGTGGAGGTGCAAACATCTCGGTTGCAGCAGGACGTTTCTGAATGGTTAGTTGACAAGCTGTTGTCCCTATTTGTTACGATGCTTGCTAATTATTCCGTTTCCGTTCATATTTTGGCTAATTAGCAAGAATGCAATGTGTACAGTTTGTAACATAGAGTTTGTAACGCAAAAACAGCGGTACATATATATATATTTACATAGGGAGACATTCATCTTTTCAGCATATATATACAATGGCCTCATTGCGTTTATTAATAATATACAGTCCTTTTCTTCCAACATCGTGCAACAACTGTTACCGTTGGAAAGTTCAATAACTTAGGGTCATAACAAGTATAACTCCAGATGCTTAAACACCTCAGTTGTCAGCAATGTGTGTATTTTCATATGTGTTTTTAAAAGCTCAGTTATTGACTTCTTTCTACAGGTGTACATGTGCAAATTGCGCTGCAATGCCATCTGAACCAGAGAATGTGTGCTGCATGGAGATACTGTACCACAGGTAACATTTTTGATAGCTTCACTAAGTTCTCTGTTTAGAGAATACATTTTTCACATGTCATTCAATATGTTTATCACATTAGGTGTCAAGACGGATGCAGGAACTTGAGCTCTCTGTGCCTTGTATCGTGGACCATCCTGGTTTGGAGCCTGTGTGCCTAAATGTGTTCTCCCTGCAGAATGCTTTCAATATATACAGAGCTGAACATGGGAGACTACAGATGAGGCAAATACAGCAGTGAGTGGTTTGTTTGTTTTGACTGAAATTGTAAAACGTCTGCTAATATTGTTCATGAAAATAAATACTGATGTATATGGTTTTATGCAATCTTTCATTTCATTCTGTCATTGTACATGGCGTTACTATTATGATATACTACACAGCAATGGCATAACACACCCATGTGTACGACAAAAAAAGTCCACACACACAACCTTATGCTTTTGAAAGCAGCATATACTTTACCCATCCAAACATGAATAATCATGACACATGTGATATAAACTGTCGGAACTTTATTCAAAATCAACGGTATTTTACATAAATTAAATAGGCTTTTCACTAAATATTATTTGCAATTATTTCAGGCGTCACAGGTATCTAGCCTACAGAAGCTTTGTGAGCTGGTGCTGGGGCTTCCTTGGACGCAAGATCAGAGTAGTCATTCCGGCCTGCGTTGTCCTCAGGATTCACATGGAGTTTCCTGATCCGCAAAACAACTATGTTGGGTTCAGACAGTCAAATTGAACCGGCGATGACCTCCTCCCTGTCAGGTCTCTCATACTGGGAACACAGGTCCTCTGGGATGGGTATCTTCAGAAGCTCCTGTGTGAATGGTGCAGGGTCCACAAAGACTTGGTCGAAGATGAGGTCCATCAAGTTGGCCACATAGCCTGTGCAATGTTAAAAAAAGCAAAACAAATATTTGGTTTAGATTTTTATATGCATGTAAAACACTGAAAGTTGTTTCTATTTTTTTTATTTTATAATTTGTTGTGGAATACATACTTAATTTTAAAAATGTGAATATTACTGGCACTTCAATAGATGTATAGATTTATTTTTCATGTGCTTGCGTCCGAATTTATATGAAAGTCTACTCTTTGGTTGTAAATAGTTGTATAATAAATATTTTAAACACTTACGGAATGTGGGGTCAGTCTGACATGCAGAATCTATCATCACAGATAATCTGCTGGTAGCATGTGAGGTGCTGGCCTGTAAAGAAGAAAACATAGTTAGAACAAAATAATCTCAATTTAGTATTCAGGATGAGAAAATACTATTTGGATAATTATAGTCTGAAATCCCAAAAGATGGGGGCTAAAACTGTCTATTTAGCAAAGCTCTTTGCTTAGCATTTTCCAATCTGAGTTAGTTTGGAACCGTAACGTGCATGCTGTGTTTCTGACAGGATACAGATGATGTGTTGGAGAGGGGCTGAGCTCAGTAGACTGATGGCGCGTTTCCACTACACGGCCTCGCTCGGCCCCGCTCGGTATGGCTGGGCCTCGTTAGGACTGGCTCACTTTATGGCGCATTTCCATTACAGTTTAGGAACTGGGGTAGTATCTATAGTAACGCAGTGTAGGCGGAGCCGTGACGTGATCTTCAGAGAACCCCAGAAAAACAACACAGCCGTTAGCTGTTAGCACTCAGAGCTCACAGCTCCTCATATATGTTCAGAAACTAGACAAAAGTTAAACAAGTACAAACCACAGACTGCCTGTGTCATGGTGAATACAGTCGCTGCTTTATTTATGTCTGTATAGGCCGTTGTGAGTGTGGACGGTCGGAGCATATACTGCGTTAGCTTAGCCAATCTCCATTTAGAACACACGCATTTTAAAAGGTTTTTCGCCTGCCGTCTGTCTATAGACTTGACAAAGCATTAATTCATGGTTTTTACTAACCGGTATCAGTATGTTGTTACTTCGGCATCATTTTGAAACGTGTATTACAATTAAATCACGGTCAAATATGTCCATCTTGTTGTAGTTGTAGCCCCCTTGCCAGCGATGCTCTCTCTAGTTTAGCATACTCAGCCCGACTCAGCCTCGTTGTCTCTGGCCCTAGACCCACGATTTTATGAGGCCAGAAAAACTGTGAATTAGGACCCGCCGGCCGGTACTAGGCCAAGTGGAAACGCAACCAAAGACGGGCCGCTGACGTCACAGCCCTCTCAAACCGTGCTCCGCGCTGTAGTGGAAACGCGCCATGACTGTAATGAGTGCTAGCCACTAATTAGCCTGTTGCTGGAGGTAAGGCCCCGTCAACAACAACAACAACAACAAACCAACGGTGCTTTAGCTCGGTTTTACTCGTGGTGTGTCTCCCCCCTCCCCCATAGATCCTAACAGTCGTGCACACACACACCCATTTAAATTCATGTGTGCTCACAAGTAAACACATAAAAGCTTTTACATATAACGTTGCAAAAAACGGCGTGTCTCATTAGCGTAGCGTAGCTTACAGATCGATGATATCTGAGGCCTGTACTACGAAGCTGGTTCAACCTAACCTGGATATGTTTGAGTTAGCCGGTTGGCCCAATCCAAAACATACGCGCTCTGGCTAAACTGTACTACGACGCTGGTTATCAAGTGGATCGCTCAAGCCAGCCGTGTCCTATCTAGTTAGGTGCGCGTTCACATGAAAGGGGTGGTATTTGGAGCATTCGACCAATCTCAAACACGGACAAGCGTACTGACAGCGCAGCGTCATACTTCCTGAATGAAAAGTCAACTTTAATATTAGTCAAATATGAAGAAGTTAAACTTTAAACATCCTTAAACACTTTATCCAGGATAAAAGCCACATAGCTGCACCTGCAAGATGAATACAGCTGGTAAAAGAAAAAGTGTTTGAATGCGTACATTAACAGGTTTATGAAATCACTGCCCCGTCCAAGACACGAGTGGATCTGACTTTAATTAGGAGAATTTGACTCGAGTGTTTCATCAACTTAATGTGTTGCTTAAAATAATACTTCTGCATACAGTATGTGACACTGTGAGTGTTGCACGGCCAGATACGGCTCAAGAAGCTGACTCAAATAAGGAAATATATGATACATTATGATGTGATATGCGATGAATGATAATGGGACACATCGACGTCTGCACTCACAGTGCCGCGGACTGTACTTAATGTTACTCTGATCCGGTTACTTATGTCGTGGCAGATATTTAAGTAGACTTTCTTAACGCTAATATTATAATAGTTTGATTGCTCTGAAGATGGGAGGGGATATTCTATTAATTTTCACGTTCACACAGTCAGTTGATTTTGGCCGGCCGTCTTTCCTGCAACGGCAGTTTTTCTGTATTTCCTCTATCCTGTAATATAAATTGATCGCTTTAAACTCCGCACACGGAGCTCTGATTGGTCAGCAGGCGGTGCTTTCACTGAGTTGATCTCTAATGGCACATTTCCACTACACGGTCGGCCTCGGCCACGCTCGGTACGGCTCGGCACGGCTTGGCCTTAACAGGGCCGACTCACTTCATGCTGCGCTTCCATTACAGTTTAGGAACTGGGGTAGTTACTATAGTAACGCAGTGTAGGCGGAGCCGTGACGTCATCTTCAATGAGAACTCCAGCAAGCCGTTAGCTGTTAGCACTCAGAGCTCACAGCTCCTTATATATGTTCAGAAACTCGACAAAAGTTAAACAAGTACACACCACAGACTGCCTGTGTCATGGTGAATACAGTCGCTGCTTTATTTATGTCTGTATAGGCCGTTGTTGTGAGTGTGGACGGTCGGAGCATATACTGCGTTAGCTTAGCCAATCTCCATCTAGAAAAACACGAATTTTAAAAGGTTTTTCGCCTGCCGTCTGTCTGCAGACTTGACAAAGCATTAATTCATGGTTTTTACTAACCGGTATCAGTATGTTGTTACTTCGGCATCATTTTGAAACGTGTATTACAATTAAATCACGGTCAAATATGTCCATCTTGTTGTAGTTGTACCCCCCTTGCCAGCGCTCCTCTCTCTAGTTTAGCATACTCAGCCCGACTCAGCCCTGTTTGTTGGCCTCGATAGAACCACAATTTTCTCGGGCCAGAAAAGACGTGAAAAAGTGGCCCCGGGCCGGGCCGGAACTAGGCCTAGTGGAAGCGCAACCAAAAACGGGAACGGCACGACACGGCACGCTTAAAGCGAGCTCCGCGCTGTAGTGGAACTGCGCCATTAGCCTGCCACCTAACCTGCTCCGGAGCAGGTTTGCCGCTCAGCATAAGTTACCATGGAAATCTAGCCTGCTAAAAAGAGAACCAGCGTCGTAGGACCGGAAAGCCCGAGATTTCCCTGAAGTTAGCCGGCTAAGCGAAAATCCAGCTTCGTAGTACAGGCTACAGATCATTCTTACAGACTACAATCACAAAAGCTTGTACATATAACGCTGCAAAAAACGGCACTTAGCTACAGAAGATTACGTTTGTTATTATAACTTACTTTATATGATTTTAGAGGATACAAAATACTAATAAATACGAGAATAAATACTTCTGTTATCTGCTATGGCGTGGCTTTACAGCCTTCACACAGATCGCCATTGCGGCAGTATGTCTGAGCATGTTATCAAATGCCTGATAATTAAAATAAAAGCAAAGACAGCGGAGCGTACAAAATAAAATAAAATGTTACAAAAACATATAAACACCTAACCGATTACTGTTTGGGTTTGAGGCGACATTGATACGGTGAAGCTACATGCTACATGCTACAAGCTAGAATAGCTTTATCAGGAAAAACACCGCTAAATAAAAACGTACAGCTTCCAAATTGGATGTGGACTCACTGGCCTGGTCCCGGATGGTGGGTATTGATCCCGGGTTTAGCCTTAGTTTGGAGGCAAATCCTTCTTTGACTTGAGTGACGTTCATAAACATGTCCGGGGCAAAATGTTGTGAACACACAAGCAGAAATCTGCTGTAGTCTTCTGGCACATGTCCCTGGAAAATAAACTCAAGCCACAGATTCCTGTCTTTTTCCAGAGATGGCAGTGCATGCAGTACCTTGCCCTTGTCCAGATTATTGCAGCCAACAACAGCACAACGTTTAACTCCCTTGGACGACATCATTGTTAGAGTACGCAAAAACATAGATGTGACTGGGGGAGCCTGCCAACAGCCTATATGCGAATGAGAGGTTGGGCAATGGCCGTGGCCGTGGCCCAACCCCACATTCCCCTGATAGGTGGAGAGTTGGCCCAATAGCCGTAGCGCCACCGTCCTGATGTCAGGACGGTGGCAAATCTGGATCCGTTTTTATCAGATCCGGTGTAGCCCCTTTTTTAGAGATTTGGGTATGGAGGAAAATAGAGAGGGTTGTGTTTTCTGACACTTGGTGAGTTCCCTGGAACACCGGGGACACATATTCATGTATAAAAGACGTACAAAAGTGCATTTTGCATGATAGGTCCCCTTTAACTTTAGTCTAAGTTATCTCAGTGGGTCTCAAAACAGTTTGATCACCATTTATGTAAACAAGTATTTCCGAGGCACACCTTCATATGATCATTATAGTTAGGCTATAAAACAATAAGAGAATAAATGAAAAACAGGTATGAAATACTATATGACAGTAAAACAAGAATACAGTTTAAAAGGGGAGTGATTAGTAAAATATCCATAAAGAAAAATAATATCTGTTTCCAGTTCTATTTCATATGGGTG